AATCGCATCTTCCATGTCACTCACGGGTAGCTGGTTTTAACTGTTTGTTTTTTGTTTTTGTTTTTATTAGCACAAAGTTAGAAGGCAATTTATAAAAGAAAAAAGAAAGAATACAATGATGTCTAGATGAAGAAACCAGGGCTATTTTCTCAGTTTTCAGTTACTATCTCCAAAATAGCCCAAAGGAAGTTAGAGGTTTTGTGACATAAGCATGAATAAAGCCTATTGCGAATGTTTCACAGTACGGCTTTAAACGTGTATCTTGCATTATTCATTTACAGCTGTTTTTTGTGCTCAAACTAATCGTTAAATTTACCTCTACCTATATTTGATCTGTACCTTGGCCTGGTAGTGCCTCCGGTTTGTCTTAATGCCATACTGTTAGACATTTTAAGCAAAGCAATAACATCTCCATGGCGACAAGGAGGTGGTCTATCCTCGCAAAGAAAAAATGACAAAGTTAACTTAAAATAAACATAAGAATCAATACATAATCACATTTTTGGTCCTCCTGGGTAATAAATGTTGGCTGCCCTCTTTCATCACTTTTTTCTTGAAAGCTCGTGCAATTCGTAACCAGAAAAGTCTGACGCTGGTGGATGAATGGTGACCTACAGATTTTTGTGCTGTGATTAATGACATTTGAAACCCTCCCAAAACTGTATTATTCACATTTTGATTGATTTACTACAAAGAGCCAAAGTAAACCTTAAATTCTTCACAAATTAAAAATCCCTTGATATTTTAGCATTAAACATAACTCACACAGACCCAAATGAAGTAGTATCCCTAATGACTCTTGGTCTTTGGGCCAAAATAAAGGTGGTATAATGTGATCTGGTTTCAGTGTGGACTTTATCAAGACGCTGAAGCCATAGGAGCTCCTCCAAAACCAATGAATCACACGTCTGAATGAAATACAGCTGTTGAGGGCCCCTTGCTTCAACTCAACAGTAAGACTTATAGTTTTCTTTAGCCTTATTTCAACTTTATGTAATAATAATGTCATGCCCTATCGTAATTTATGAGGGAAAGGTCAGAAATGTACTTAGGAAGGGTACTTTTATTCGGTTAGTATGTATGAAAAAGGTATGGGCTCATTAGTCAGCAGTAATGAGCCATCCAATCAGAAACACTGAATACGCTTTCGTTTTACTCTTTTTACTTTCTTTAACTTGCTATGGGTTCCACTTTTAAAATCACTTTTGAATTTCAAGGCCAAATGAAACAATGACAGATATTTATTTTCTGTTTTAAGAATAGTGTCATGGTTTTAGATGGTGAAAAATTTCATAATATCACCATCACCACCAATATCATCTATAATATCATCTAATAATATAGGTGTATTATTAGATATTAGATGCTACAGGACTTTTTTTTAATGGCTTTACTTTCTTTCATCAATTTGCACACCTGATCACGTTCATAATTTGGTGAGAATAGATTTGGGTGATCGGACGTTCCTGTTTACCCAGGACAGTCCCAGTTTTGAGCCCCTGTTCCAGATGATTTATTCATTTGTCCCAGTTTTATACAAGAAATGTCAAACTGGTCCCTATTTTTGACAAATCTGATACTTGCCAACAATAAAGACAGGGGTACATTGTCATTTGTTTTGTAAAATACAGAAAAGCTGTTTAAAAATGACCAAACCACAAAGAAAATATGACTAAAGTGACTCACATTAGTGCAGAGTGCATAACCGTTTTCTTTAATTACACACTCATTTCACAATTTTGTTATTATGAACCAACCCAAACTAGGGACGTAATCTGGTCACCCCTGGAATACATCAGATTCCTTCATAATCTGTGTAGCACCACATGTAGCCAATATAGGCCTCTTAGAGCCTACATATATGACTATGTTTATGTTTAGATTAATTTCTTAGTGTAACTGACTGCAAACATAAGCTCAAAGGCGGCGCTACCTTTAGGCAAAAGTAGACAGATGCTTAGGGCCCCCAAACCTGGGGGGGCTCCCAAATCAATTGCCCTCAGCGCCACTAATAGTCTCAGAGCAATTTGATTTTCTTTCAATATGACATTATATGAGAGTATTTTATTAATAATAATCATATGTAATGGATGTAAACAAAAATATAATTGTACTAGTAAAAAAATAAAACTACTTTCAGTTCTGGTTATCTAGTCAGCGACCAAACTAATAAAACAAGTTTCCAATCCACCATAATTCAAATAAATAGAGATGTGCGTGTCTCAAGAACAATGGGGAAAAACAGACAATAAATTTATTTTAAAAATAATAATAAAAAATTGTGTATTAAAGTGAGGGCCCCAAACTCAAGTTCGCCTAGGGCCCCCAAATTGCTAACTCTGCCACTGCATAAGCCACTTGCCATATGTAGAGCTGGGAAAACTTTTTGAAGAAATTTTACTTTTACTACTTCATCAAGCAGGTAACTGGACTAGTGTTATTAGAGTGTCAAAATCAAAAACTGCAACACCGTCGGTTTGTGGTGGTTGGTAATAATAAAATTGTGAAATGAGTGCATAATTAAGAAGAATTGTTCTGCATTCGGTCCACTAACAGGTGAGTCAGTATAGTCACATTTTCTTTGTGTTTTTGTCATTTTTAAGCAGCTTTTCTGTATTTTACTTAAACTAATTATAGTTTATGCTTCTCTTTACCATTAGCAGGTATCAGATCAAAAATAGGGACACCTGGGACATTTCTTGTATAAAACTGGGACAAATCACTGCTTTTGGATAAACCTGCTGGGACAGGGGACACAAGGCTCAAAACTGGGACTGTCCCGGGTAAAACTAAAAAATCTGGTCACCCTAAACTGGACTCAAATGCAACACAAAGATGCAAATGCAAGTCTTACTTCAGTTTAACAGAAAGTGTCCTTTAAAAGGTAATGTTTAATATGACAAATCAGGCTGATAAACTAAGGAATGACTTAAATATCTAGCCTGATTCATCAGTCAGTTTTACTTTGTGTCACTTCATACAAACCGTCTGACCTCTCAGCGTTAGATTTCATTGCTCGCTGGTAGGTGGGTACTTCTTATCATTTAACAAATCACTGCTATTTGGTCGTGACGTATGTAATGCACCTCTAACAGGACTAACTGGTATATTAAGCTTTTCCCAAATCCCGTAGGAAGAAGGGCAATAATGTCTTTCCCCTTGATAAAATTAATCAAACATTCTCTTTGTTCCAGTTTTAAATCCTCAGTCTCGAGAATCGTTGCCAACACAGAATGTATGGCTCTTCGCTGATTGGCTGGTGCCCGAACTTGCACTTCCAGGGTTCTTGCAAAGCGTCTAGTGAATTCTGATTCCTGACCTAGTCGCTCGAGAGAAATTAAATTGAGTGGAGGCACTAGGTGGCACCAGCCTGGCTATTAAATATCCTCAAACCTGAAAAAAAAAATCCTGAAAATCTCTAAGAGAAAATAAGCTGGATACACTGAATCAAATACAGAGCTTGAAAGTGTCTCTTAACTTATCAAGAACCTGGGAAAGACTGAATGGGCAGAGGGAGTTTCTCTAGACTTCCCTGGGATGATCTGGGAATGAGTGACAGCTGTATGAAACAGTGAAGAAGCAAAAGATGGACTGAATCAGGTTGGGAAATGGAGCTGGAGTGTTGGATAAACATGTAAACGATAGACAAAACTGTGACAATATTTTTAAAGTAGTGAATAATTTGCTTGGTTTTGGTTGTAGGCTACTTCTACTTGAGTAATATTGTTTTATAGTAACGTTACGATTCCTTCCTTCCTTCCTTACTTACTTAGGCCTACTTACAGGCAATACTCTAAGCACTTCTGGCATACCTTTTGCGTAAGGACGTGCGCCCAGGCTATACCTTGACGTCAAACTGGAATCCCCTTTGATTATGTAAAGTTATCGAGCTCTTTCTACTTGACAGAACTGCATCACCGGCTTAGTGCACTTTTACCTCCCTCGCCCCCACCGCCGCCGTCGGTGCGTGGGCGTGTGCGTAACCCCGGCACCGGCAGTCGCACGTCCCTCGTGTACACGCGCTTTGTCGTGTGCGTGTGTGCGTGGATTTACATGCAAGTGTGTGTGTTTCGATGAGGAGGAGATTAACCTAGTACTTCAAGCTGGCTGATGCTGATTGGAATGACGTTCGACACCCAAAACCTTTCCTCTACAATGAAAACCACGGGTCACTCACGGGGCCAATTGTTGTAGTAAGTATTGTAACACAGGGTGGATTAAGAGGCCAACACATGCATTGTTCACTGTTTATTTAGTAGTTAAAGAGCCCATATTATACTGTTTCGTTATCTGTGTAATAACGGTGGAGCTCTTTCAAACTGAAAACAATCTGTGCCACCTTATGTCATGTGATAATACAGGAAGTGCTCCATAAAACTTCATACACCTTCACTAGAATCATTTGGATGATTCTATTCCAACCCTGGAACTGCCAAACGTTCACTGAAGAAAAGGCAAATAGTAGCTGCAACTTGAAAACTACTGCTTCATGATATCACAAGTTGGAACAGAGCATTTTGAGCTTTGGAGATGCAGACAGACTAATAAAAACACACACTACTTAGCAGTTGGCTTTCCTAACTATCTGGCTGTTTCCCAATGTCCTAATAAGTTGCAGTTGGCATTCAGGTGGTTAGTTACAGTCAGGCGTAGACAGGATTAAACTATCTTTGAAACTAAATCTACTTATTAACATGTTTATTTCAGTAAATATGACCTAATTTATGTGTTTGTGTTGTCTTCTCACAATAAATACTGTATCGACTTCAATGCATGACAGATGGAACAATCATTTTTGGTTGTCAGTATTTATCATGGGTACTTTTACTTTGTACTATTGTTTTTTTTCTGTACTACGATGAGATTTGAGCTGTAGATTATTGAATTATGAAGTTCTATGACTCATTTAACTATTATTTATTGCAAGTTTGGTTTCAACATTATTGTGTATGGTTTATATATACTTATATAATATATGGCACTTCAAAATTTGTTAAGGCGACAGGTCTGGTCCTTTCTTGTTTCTCTTTGGGGACTTATAAATATGCATCACATCAAGTAACCCAGGATTAGAGGGAAGGATCCTGCTCTCCAGCTCAGGGCATATGCAGGAGGTTGGTAAGAGGCTGCTGCATTCATGCTTGAGTACGCGTGTTTGTGTCTTAACTAACTAAGCCACCCATAGGTGCAGAATATGGGCCTGTGTGTCATCGGAGAGGAGAGAGAGGAGAGAGGAGGACTCGAGACAAGATGGTCTATGGACAACACGTACTGGTGAAAACAAGGTAAGACTCCTTTTTACAATGTAATGTTTACTTATAGCGCATAAAATATTGAGATGCCATTTCCTGTTCTTTTAATCAGAGAAATTGGTAGTGGTGGAAGAAGTACTCAAGTGAAATCACAGATACTGGAGCAAAAAAATAAAACTAAAGTATCACATGAAAAAAAAAGTATTAGTAATGGTATTACTAGTAAAATTTGAGATTTGAGATATTAAAAAGCTTCAAATGTAGTGATTATGATACAGATTTGTGCTGATTTTTGTTTAACAGAAACAACTGAAGTAATATTTCCTAGCTGTTTTTATTTGTTTTGTTTCCTCAGACTGTGAGCGTGTTAAAAATAAATCCTCAGTCATTTGAGAATGTCTGTGATAATAATAAAAATACTTTTACTTTTCAGTTCAGAATTGTAGTGGAGCAGAAAGTACAGATTCTTGCTTTCAAATATATTGAAGTTAAAGTAAAACGTATCCCCTTTAAGTCTATTTAAATAAAGTACAGATACCTAAAATGGATACTTAACTACAATACTTTACTACTTTTACTTTGTCACATTCCACCACTGCAAATAGTAAGACAAAGTACTTTTTACCTTGACCAACCTAACCTACATATTTATCTAAGTAAAGGAAAATGTTCTTCTCTCATTTTATTGACGTTTACTGTATTACTCATTATAACGTCAGCAATAACATTTCATTGATTTTCTTTTTAAATTAATTGTCTTAATAGATTCAAATATTGGATAATTAGGGAATTTAGGTAACAAACTAGAATGAAATAAGTATTGTATTTAGTTTTCATTGTGTAATAGTGATTTGGATTATTTTGAATCATTCAGGTTTGCTTTTGATTTTTATCCATTTTATAAACTGTAGTTTAAGAGCAAAGAGTTGTAAGTTACAAAACTGTAGGTGCACGTTTCATAATCTTGAACACTGAGCAGCCCTAACAGCAGATTTTTGATATATTGGTCTAAAAATGCATGCAAAATATCCCTTCCTCAATTCTTGCACGACTCACAATAAATTCAGGTCAAACTGAGCTAAAAATGTGGCGTAAATCCAGAGCGTTTCTAGTAAAGCCTTGAGTAATTAACACAATATGAGCCCAGCCTTCAAACAGCAACAGGTCTTTGGAAATAAGAGGGCACTTTCTCAGTCAAAGTAAATAGTAACAATTTAAAGACCCTATATTACACAAAACTGACTCTTGTAAGATATAAGCCACGTTATAATGTTGTCAGACAAAACACAACTCCTGGTATGTTTTTGATGAGCATACAACATTATAACTGATCAAAAAAATAGCTTAATATTGACCCTTGAATAAAATATTTTTCGATGTAGTAGCAAAAATCCTGCTCATTACGTCATTGTCTCACCTTCCTGATTTATGCAACAGTCTCACTCTGAAAACCTGCTGTGAGTGAATAATTTGGGGACAATAACATGAAATAGCACAAAGGATAATCCTCCAATCACAGCCTCAGCGTCTCATTCTCTTTAAACAGTTTTGTAACACTACTGCTGGTGACAAAATCCAAAATAAGAAGTGATTTTGTCTAAATTATGATCCATGTCACTGCCTATTCTGACAGATTACAGCGCGTAGTCCCATTGGATTATTTGATACCACAAGGAAATACTATGATTGGAGGTGATGGGCGGATACATTGAAATTGAAAGAGATTTACAAACAGAAAATTCACAAATATTGAACCGGATGTTATTATTATATTACTGTGTTTGGAACCAAAATCTTATTTTTTTTAAAATGTCATACTTCTAATACCCCTTGATTTATATAGTTAAAAATAAGACTTTTTACATTTTACCTTCTTAATTTTGTTTATTTTAAACAGTTTGCACTTACCTTGTGCATTCTGAGCATACTCATTTTTTAATTTTGCAACTTTCAGAGACCAGAGCAGAGTTTTGCCATCACAATATATTACAAAAACTTCTTCTTGATTTTCAAACAATAAAAAAATTATATTTAGAAGCAGGTAGCACACATATTTTAACCGTAAGAGCTCCCATAGTGGGGAAAAGATGCGAAAACAATCAGGAGCCTTTAACCATATAAGCCAGTGTGTTTATTTTGAAATCTTAAAATCAAATTCTTCTAAAATATTCAGACCTACCCTCCATGTCCATTTTAAACTAAAGTCTGACATTACATAAATGCATCTATACAGTACGCTGTTTACTTTAAGATATGAAGGGATATTGATTTATTGGTGGAATAATTGATTGATCAAATGCTGTGTACATGTATTAAAATAAAGCTTTGTAAATACTATGTAGTTAAAATAAGCATTGATTAGCAGCAAATACAGTAGGGGCCCATATTATCCTGTTTTCTGATCACTGATAATGTTGTTTCCTCATCAAAACTGTACCTGGAATTGTGTTTTGTGCATATTTAGGCTGTGCTCTTCCCTCAAACAGAAAAGACTTGGTTCCAAACTCCATACACCGTATCTAAAATCATTTGGATAATTTCAGCCCTGGAATTGCCAAACTCTTCTGAATTAAAGGTAAAAGTTAAGGTTAGCTGATAACTTGAAAACTACTGCTTCATGACATCAAATATAGACAAATTAATAACAAAGGTCTTATTCAAACATGTATGAATGAAACAAAACACAACTCCAGATATGAGGAGGTACTGACATTATAACGTGGTTTACAGCTCACAAGACTCAATTTTGTGTAAGAAATTATGAAATCACATATTATTACCTCCGCCAAGGAGGTTATGTTTTTGCCGGCGTTTGTCTGTTTGTTTGTTTGTTTGTTTGTCTGTTAGCAACATAACTCAAAAAGTTATGGACCGATTTTGATGAAATTTTCAGGATTTGTTGGAAATGTGAAAAGGAAGAACTGATTTCATTTTGGGGGTGATCCGGAACAAATCCTGGATTTTGGATCACTTTGAAATTTTAGTTAACATTGTGGTAAATGGGGCCAAAAATTTTGTTTCTCAATATCTCGGTTAATTATTGACCAAACCCCATGAAATTTGACTCAGGGATGGACAATGGGATCCTTTCATATTCCAAAGGCTGATCCAGATCTGATCCAGAAGACTGATTTTATCGCAATTTATATAAAAAATGGGGGTAATCCTTGGAGGACTCTGAGTGCTTTCTAGTTAGGGATGTAACAATAACCGAAATATCGTGATTTCGTATCGTCAGAAGTCTCACAATAATATCGTGTGCTGTCACAATATATCGAATTACAAGTTCCTTTGCTTAAATACATGGTTTTATAGTAGCAACAGCTTAAAAACATCAAAAACTACATATCCCATGCTTCATTTCAGTGCAAACAACATAAAGAAATATGTTTTTTACTTGAATTCTTGTGATTACACCAAAATCTTGTCAACGTATTATAAAAGCAAAAAAGTGTCCTCTCCAAAATATCGGAATAAATATCTTACCGTGAGATGCATATTGTGATAATATTGTACCGAGAGATTTGGATATCGTTACATCCCTACATCTTATATTTGAAAATGAAGTTATAGAGATATGGTTGATATTGTTTGGAGATGCATGTACAGAGAAGATACAGTGAATATATCAGTAAAAAGGTTTGAGTTTTTGAGGTAGTAGACCACAAATATATGGTACATTAAGTTATAATAGGTAGTCAGATTAGGATGCTGAATGGGGCATAGACAATTTCACATTTTTCTCCTTTGTAAAAATAATAAATCTGACGGGGATGCTGAGAATAGGGTCAAATGGAAGCATGTTTATTGCCATGGCGACCTCTATGGAGATAAAACAGACAAAAGGCCAGAAAGTAAAATATATTACAATTTACCACAGTTATTCAAATGATAACAATTTCAATTTCACTCAACTTTGATGTATAATCCAAGACTTTATATTACTACAGAAGATTTTAAAACAACATAGGATGAAGTTTGTTTTGGAAATTTGATCGTCTTAAGCCTAAAATTATTCCGGAAACCCCCGTGAGCTCCGATAAGCATATTATTGTCAGTCAACCATTTCTGAGGTCTGGACCCACCATGAGGGATGTGGGTGTGAGTGCAAAACAGGCAAAAGGAGCCAAAAGATTCTTAAGTGATATATTTGTTTACTTCAATATACTTAAACTACTTATCAGCGGTTATCAGCGGTTATTAAAGTCCCAAAATTGATTCTTGTGAGCTTTAAGTCATGTTATAATGTTGTTACCTCATTAAAAATATACCTGGAGTTGAGTTTTCTTTCATTCACACATTTGTCTACATTTCCAAAGCTCAAAATGCTTGGTTTTACCTTGTGATGTCATGAAGCACTAGTTTTCAAGTTAACAGCTACCTTTTTACGTTTGTACTGTAGAGATTGTCAATTCCAGGGCTGAAATCATCCAAATGAGTCTAGTGAAGGTGTATGGAGTTTAAAAACACAGTGGAGCACTTCCTATTTTACCACATGACATCACAAGGTGGAACAGTTTTCAGTTTTAGAGAAGAACTCAGCCTAAATACGCAGGGTTTGTGTGTTAAAGATGTGTGAATGAAACAAACCATAACTCCAGGTATATTTTTGATGAGAAAACAACATTATAACATAGCTGACAAAACAGTGTAACATAGGCCCTTGAATGCATGAATTAGTGTAGTTATTAATATACAGTGTTGCCATGTTTTTGTTAGTTTTAGTTTGAAGAGTAGACGAAACACCATCACAACTGCGTGTTAAAAACACAATGATTCAAGCCCTGTGGTCCACTCTGTTTTATCACTAAGAGATGTAAACAATGGTAGCTGGCTGCAGTACGCTCCTGGATTCGCGAGCTGCTCCAAAGCAAAACTAAAATAGGACTTCATGTAATTTACAGCTCAGTTGTAAAAATCACTCTTTTGAGCAGGTGTGCGTGAAGCTGTCAGGGTGTAACTGTCACAAAGTAGGTGCCAGGATGATAATTGTTTGAATAATGAAAAGTTTTACAATGTGGTTTTAGTCATGTTTGTGAATGAGACTGTTGCATAGTGCCATAGAAATAGTGTAATGGGACTTTTCCTTTCTGTGGTTCTCAAACTGCAGTTCACGGCTTATAAATTGTTTGTGTGTGTGTGTGCGCATAGTTGAGGTTGTAATTTATGCTTTATTTTGAGTATTTTTTAAGTTTTTGAATGCGACTGGTGTCATTGAAATAGCATAGGACTTTAAGCAGCCGTTCTCAAACTGCAGTTCATTGTTCATGGTTCACTTGGCATTTATTTTGTAATTTCGCTTCTAATTTAAATATTTGTTTTTATTCTGACCTGGTTTTGTCCTGGATTTGTCCTGGTTGATGACAGCATCTCTGGGGTAGAGCGATCCTCCTATAATATATAGCTTGCAGATTCAAACCATGCACTCTCTAGTTTAGTCTAGTAGCCACAAATAGTATGAATTTATTTTTATTTATTTATTACAAAATGACAAAAATATTCAGTAAAAATAATATGCATAATTTAGCAAATACATTTTGTAAATGGGACACCCCTGAAGCTGGCTTTAGCTTATAAATGGGGCCCACAGCAATTGAAGTACACATTACTTATTACCTACACACTGTTAACAGGACGGGAAAAGTTGTGTTGTGTTGTGTGTTGGTGAGAGTCTGAAGTCTGAGACAGGAGAACCTTATTTACCCTCCGTTCAGGATCCGGTGACCTTGAATACTCAACACTGCGTGTTGGTATTGGCTATTCAAGCCTGAATCTGCTTCCACACAAGGAGATTTAAATAGGAAATAAGAAGGACAGTATGGAGACATGCTGGTCAAGATAAAATGAGAAGAACATAGCGTACCTCTTCTGTGAGACCAAGGGAACTGATGATATTATAGAAGGACTCATTCTGCAGTAATGACGCCAAAGCTAACCACAGAGAAATGTCAACAATGAACTGGAGGTGTCCTTGCTAAAAGTATTCAGGAAATGCTAAATTCCACAACATTATCTATCTCTAATTCATTATTAAAACACATTTCCTATTTCTATAAGAGACCAAAATACAAAATGTTTACATTCAACTCTCAGTTCAACAAGATATTAAATAACTGTTTAAAGTGAAAGAGAATTTAAAAATATTGTGGTCTGAGAAATGACTTTACTACCGCGATTAAAAAAGTTTTGGGAAAAACAACTACTCAGATATGTTTAACTGTCCAGACGCAACATCTGATTTATATTTAAGTTAATGTTATTAAATGGACAAAACACATAAAACATAACAAAACATTGAATAGTGCCCAAATTGTGGTAATATCAAAGAATAGACCAGAAAAAACAAAATAAAATCATATCTGAAGGAATGGTGCAAGAAAAATATTCAAATGATTTAAAAAGATGATTAAACAGATGAGAATTTTATTTATTTATTTATTTTTTTACTTAGTGTACTGTAGGTAGTAGGTAGTAGGTAGTACAAGTAAGGAGTCTGAAAACCACTCCCAAGAAGTAATTTTTTTTGCATTTTAAGATTACTCAAGTAAATGTACAGCCACCTACTGCTGATAGTCCTGAGAGACCAGAGACACAGAATGGCAGCCACTTCTCTGTCTGTCTGCTCAAGGGCACAGTAGTATTTCCTTTTGTATGCCTGCCGTGATAACAGATTTTGAAGTGGGATGTATTGCTGAAGTAAATATAGACGAAAAACTATAATACTGCAACTAAATGTAACGTCACCAACACAGTAAGCACAAAAAGTATGTTAAAAGTACAATAATATTACAAAAAACATCAGAATGGAACAATTTAGTACTAGTTTGCATCAGTAATGAGTAATAGAAGTTATTTATTCAACCTTTTACGAGTTAAATCTCACGATGTAGCCAAAAATACCCAAAATATATAGTTCCACCTTTCATATATTAAACGATACAGTAATTATTGTGACAGGCCTATCCCTTTGACAGCAGTAACAGGAGTCTACAGTCTGTAATAATCCAATGACTGTGAGTGTAATGTCAGTGCAGACCTCACAGTGAACTTGTCCATTACTTCTGTTTAGATTACAATAGTGTGCTTTGAGCCAAACTTCCCCCTGTCTCAGCTCGGACTATGCATCCTGTACATACACACATGTTTCTCTGCATCTCTATCAGCGAGAGAGGGAGAGGAGAGAGAGAAAGAGAGAGAGAGAGGAGAGGGGGAGGAAAGAGAGAGGGAGAAAAGGAGAGAGGTTTGAGCTTTCATTGAGCTACACAGTGTCCTGATGGGCTCCTGTGTGTAGTTCCTCCTCTAACTTTTGCTCTTATAAGGATTTTAAAGTTTTGATTTGAGGACTATTTAGAGTTTGTTGAGCACTTGCTGGATTCTGGAAAGGTAAAGTACAAGATGTGTTTATACTGTGGTTGTATTAGGGACATTTATACCGCTGTAGCATCTTGAGAAGTTTTAGGTTGTAATATATTATGCTTTTTATATCTCTCGTTTGGAAATTCTTCTTACTTTTATTTTGAAGCAGTTATAGGTAAACAAAAAGCAGTTAAAGTAAATCAAAAAAGCCCTAATTAAAATAAAATGTCATAATAAAATAATATTTCTTTGTGTGCAGTTTTATTCTGCAGAGGATTTTTGTTTTGTTTTTGTCTTACAGATTTTCTTAGTTATGTTTGGAATGTTTGTCAATTTGGTACGGTTTGTACCAAATCATAGTAGGAAATGTATTTGAAATCTATTGTGTGGTTTTGCATTTTTGACGAACTTCAAAACTGAAAATATGAGACATATAATCGTGCACAAAAGTTACGTTAGACTCAGTTTGAAATGCTTGTTAAATGAATATCTTCCAGTTGTGTTTGGATATGGATACAGGTTTAATTTCACCTTTCAAAACAAGCGCAAAAAGACTGTTTTCTATGTTATATCTGACCTTGAGTTTTGTGTCTTTCAGATCTTTCTCCGTCTGTCGTCCAATGGAGAAGACCTGCTGCCCCAGTAACTCATAACAAACCACATTTCCACTTCAGTTACTACTTTGACTTTATCTTTAGTCTTTATCTGACCACAAAGGAGCTATTTGTTTTACCTAGTTCCCCCACAAATTCCTCCAAACTACACCTTTACTGTCCCGTAGCTCTGTTCCCCTAATGGGCTCCTCATCACTCAGTACAGCCACAATCCTGTCTTCATTCTTGGACTCTTCTCTCCGCCCCTAACCACCTTCGCCAACACCAACATCGGCACGACCCAATGGAGACCGAAAGCATGATGACCAAGGACGTAGGAAGCAACAGCGAAGGGCTTAAGGAAAGGAATGAGGAGACGAGGGAAGGAAGTGAAAAGTTGATGCTAGCCGACGGAACTGAGCAGAGAGGACATAAGCTATCCAGCTCCGAGCCGCAGGTTTCGAACGGTTTCACGACAAGCACTTCCCAAAACTTCCGAGAGGGGCAGGGGAGCGGGGCAGGGTCAGGTGGGACTGCGCCCAGTCTGGGACATAGCTCGTCAGCGCCCATGGGTGGCTTCAGGACTCTGGTGGTCCAACAAACCAGTCTGGAGAGGCCGAGGGAGACCTGGAGTAAGAAGATGGACTTTTTGCTTTCTGTGATTGGCTACGCTGTGGACCTGGGCAACGTGTGGCGCTTTCCCTACATCTGCTATCAGAACGGAGGAGGTGAGGAGATTTGGAGAGAGGGAGAGAGGGAGGAGGAAGGGGAGGATGGATGGATGGGTGGATGGGTGTGTGAGGGGAGAGCCAGTGTTGTGAAATAAAGTAGACAAGTTTGTGATAATATTTCAGCTTGTATTAGAAAAATGGAGGTGGTTACTGCCTCGTGCCCACCCAGTTTTGTACCAAAGTTTATCTGGTTTTAAACAAGAAGGAAAGTTTAGGGAGTTAGTCTAGGATTATGAATTGTTGACTATAAGCTGACCCCTGTAACAGATACAGTGAGATAACTTTTAACTGTTTACTTAAGTATAAATATATTTAAAAATAATAAATTAAATACTTTGTGCAACTTTTCTTGGTGGAGAGTCCTGTGTGCCACATTTTTGTCTCCATTAAAATGAGTGGAATGTTCCGCAGTATGGCATTAAATCGGTTATGTTCATGTTCAGATCTATATGTTCTTTGTTTTTCTATGTATGTTTTGGTACTAAAAACGCCTAGTATTGAATGAAGATAAGTATATATAGATAAGTTAAATGCCATACTGTGGAACATTCCAGGAAAACCAATAACTTCTCAGTGGAGACAAGCAGGTGGCGGACCCCACACCAGAAAAGTTGCATAGTCCATCTTTAACTGTGTCTATAAAGTCTATAAAACCAATACAATAGTGCATTTAGTATAGAGCTAATACTACTTGTATGTGAAATATATTCTCCATAGTACAGTCTCAGATAAATAAATTTCAAATACAATTTATTTCAATACAGAAGAAACTTGCAAACAAGTGTATTTCATAAAAGTGTTGTGGTAAAATATTTGCTTTAGTAAATTGAATACGATATGCCCCAATAGTCAAATTTCACCCATCTCCAAGGTGAAAGTTAGTAAGTCTAGGGTTAGCTAGGGTAAGGTAAACTCTGGCCACATTCACACTTGTCCTGGTTTGGTCCCCGTTTGAGCCCGGATTAATCCTGACCTGTTTTAGGCTAATCTTGTTCTAGTCCAGGTTTTGTTCCAGTTTTTGATGTGCCAATGTGAAACCACCCTATATCTTATTATCAGAAGTTAAATGTGCCCCATTCTACAACTTAACCAGGTGCCAGGAGATGTCTCAGATCTTGAGTTATATTCTAGGGTGTGAGTACCTAACTGTATTTGCATTTTAAGTGTATCAGTGTATTTTGAATCAGAACTAACGGCCTTTTGTATAAGAAAATTACCTACTATAACTAAAAAAGAGAGCATTTTCTAAATCTCCATTGTGGTATCGTAATCAGCATCTAGTATTAAGAGTTTGAAATTTTAGTATCTAAACAAGACGAGCCCTTACTATGTTACTATGGTTTCATCTGGCACTGAAATGTCACTTGTGATCATAGACATAGGGTGGACTGGTGCATCTATAATGACTTTTGTAATTGAGTGTGATACATGAGCATGAGTTTTGCTTCTTGTTAAAGTGAGAAAATATGCCTCCTATTACTGCAACAGGCAACCCAAAATACGCAGAGTCCCATACAAGGTTTTTCTGAGTTAAATGTAAAAATTAAAAGTCAAAAATTAGTGCCAAAAATACAACATATATATAAAGAAAAACTGAAAAATTAGGAATGAGAACATCAGGGCAGTTCATGTTGGATGTTTTAGAGTCAGAGAGGTCAGATAAAGCACTTTGGGCCTATTCAGACAGGAGGAGGCGGTGTAATGAATTTGTCAATAAAGGGATGTGGGGGTAAGCAGGAGGTCCAGAGAAGAAGACTAAAAAAGGATGTAGTGAATAAAAACAGGGAGTTAGTGGACACGGCTAAATAGGGATACTTCATTGTAGGACACCATGCGTAACTTAAGCAGGTACAATCTCCTTTTGTTTGGGTCGAATATTCCTTTTTATTGCTTGTATTGCTCTCAATTGTTCCTCAAGGGGAAGATTTGTAGAGTTTTGTTGAAATTGTTGTCATGTAGTCCACTGGTCTTGTGCAAATCCAATTAGGAAATAAATTGAATGATTGACATAAAGAACTGAAAGAATAGCTGCATTTGAAGGGATCCAAATAAAATATTGCAAAGGCGGTAGTTGCTGGGACAATAACGTTCAAGGTTACTTTATTTTATATATACACATTTGCATCTGGAAAAGTGATAACAGTGCATAGTGCAGGCTAAAAGAACTAAAACCACATTAGAACCTCTTTATAGACTTTAAAAAGTAGTTGTTACTGTCGTTTTTTACCATGTGGTCATATCCAAAAAGGTCCAAATTTATCCTATTATGTGATTTTCAGTATACCTGTTCACATTGCTGCACCCGGGGACACAATTTAGCTGTAAGAGTTCACCTATTATGCATGTTTGTTGATGGGGAAAACCAGAGTGCCCAGAGGAAACCCACCCAGACACTTCTCCCATAGAAGAAACACGCAAACTCACACAGAAAAGCCTGGTGGTCAAACATTCTTCCTATAGTTTAGTTGCTCTTTATATTTTAGTCACGTCTCAAATGTTACTGTGCACTCTTAATTACACACATTCAAATCAGCTTATTACGCAATTTAATGTTTTTGCTTAATCCTCCAGCTCTCCCTTAGCATGTTTCATATGGTTTTATTTGGCCCAGGCTCCACTGCTGTAGCTTATATTGACAGAGAATACGCACTAAAGACTGTTACTACACAATGTTCACCTAGCAGCAAACAGGAGCTCCCTTTTATTGGATTTGCAATAATAAAATCTTTGCAATTTCCTGTGCAGTGTCCGTGTCTCCCCGAGCGGGCAGAGATGGGGGCCGGGACACACTTGATACAGGCTACAGTATTAATTGTGTTTTTTTTTTATGAGAACGCGGCAAGTTTCTTTCTCCTTACTTAATAACCTGTCGCCACGGCAGCCGCTCAATCAAGCCTTATCTGAGGCTTCTGTCACAGAGACATACAAGTGCACAGGGGCCAGGGAGCACAATATAAGTGATAGGACTGCTTTTAAATATTGTATGTGGAGTATAGTATGCCCATGATACTAAAATGTAAATTATGATAAAATAATAATCATTTTAAAAAGATCAAGACTATTCTAAAAGTAGATCACGACAATCTAAAGCTACCAAAGAATTTTGTCTATATGCGCCGATCCAGCTTTTTCAGCTCTGATACCGATACTATAGCTTCAAGTATGTGCCAACACCCAATAGTAACTGATACTAGTGCCGAGCCTAAAGACAGCATTTATTTATTCAGCATTTATTTTCAAAAATCAAAGTGTAGCTGTCATTTATTCCACTATTAGGGGTGTGCAAAAATATTGAAATATTGATATATCGTATAATTTAATGTGATGATACACTATCGATATAATGGGCTGCTGTATCGATATATATCGCCAAGAGTACTTTTTGGTGTATTTTACTAAAATATTTTGTTATAGTGCTACAGTTTTGTTGCTTGTGTAGAGGAAAGAAACTTTTTTATGCAGTACATTAAACACTTTCACTTTCCACATTTTTCATATGAACTTTGCACAAGAAGTGGTTTAACAAAGACTTTTAATATCACAGCCATGATTTAGCCTTTATTTTTTATTGAACTGTATCTAATCGTTTTGAAATATATTGTATCGAATCGGAAGTACACTGTATCACAATATGTATCGTATCGTGGCCTATGTATCGAGGTATGTATCGAATCGGCAAGTTCTTAATGATACCCAACCCTATCCACTACCTCTACTATTTCTGGGCTAACTACAACCAGTAATTTAGTATTATTACATCTATGTCAATTCAGGATATTGACTGAACTGATATGTGGAACTAATATCTGATTCACACCAGTATCGTATCGATGCATCCTTAATTTATCATTTTAATGTCATTTTTAAAGTATCTGTAAACTTCCTTTTGTAATTAGATTGACTGACCCGTCCCTGTTGCCCTAGGTCTGCTTTTAAATATTGTATATGTAGTATAGAGTTCTCATGATACTAAAATTTAAAGCTTGATTTGGATACTAAGGAAAAGGCTTGAAATGGAATACCCATTTCAGTCCAATCCCATCCACTTTATTTATGTAGCACATTTCATAAACAGTTTCCAAAGTGCTGCACAAATACACAGTTACAACAGCAACAACACTGATAAATAATGCTAATATAAACGCTCAGATTTAATCGTACTAGTCTTAAAACAATAAAACACAAGAACAAAAACATACAATCACAATAAATACATAAAAGCAATACAATAAATTAAAATTAATTAAAAGACACAAGAGGACCACACAAATCACACAGTGTTAAAAGCAGTAGAATAAAATTGTACTAATATTGCAAACTCAAACGTGGTGTTTTCAAGGCTGTAGCAACAAATTTTTAGCAAGGCCACCTAGTGCCTCCACTCGATTTAATTTCTCTCCAGGGACTAGGTCAGGAATCGGAATACACTAGATGGTTTGCAAGAAACCCGTAAGTTGTAGACTGTGCACCAGCCAATCAGCAAAGAGCTTTGAAGCCATGACTGGATCCCCAGCACTTCAGTAAACAAAGTGGTCAAGATGGATGTAGACAATGCCATATATTCTGTTTTGGCAACAATTCCCGAGATCAAGGAGAATGTTTGGTTAATTTTATCAAGGGGAAAGACGTTATTGCCCTTCTTCCTATGGGATTTGGGAAAAGCTTAATATACCATTTAGCCCTCTTAGCAGCACATTACATACGTCACGACGAAATCGCAGCGATTGGTTAAATAAAAAAGTACCCGCCTACCGTGGAGCGAACAAATCCTAATGCTGCGAGGTCAGATGGTTTCCATGAAGTGAAACCGGCTGATGAATCAGGCTACCGAATTTTTGGCCCCGGGTACAAATTATCGTGGTGGGTCCCCGCACTACATGTCGTCTAATGAAAAATGCCCATTACAGACTTTGTAAAGGGCCCCTTCCTCCACCAGGCCCTGGGTAAACAGTACCCTTTACTCCTCCCAGTCTGACTCCCCAGGGTGTTTTACTACTTCTAGATCATGATTATTCTAAAGCGACTCGGGCACATCCAGTTTTGTTCTCTCTTTCTTTTTTTTCATTTTTTTTTTTTTCATTTTTTTTCTATACTTAAAGCTACCATCTGTAATTAGATTGGCTGACCCACCCCCGTTGTATTCTCACATATCACCACTAGATGCTACCTATTTTACTGCTGTTGGATAGTGTTCCAGCTTTGGCATGACAGAAGACAACCAGAGAGTACAGGTGAAGGGAGGGGGAACAGGTTTCACATCTGCTATCTACTGGTGAAAATAAACATGAAATAAACTTAAAAATGGTAGCTTTAAGATCAATTTTTATTTATAACTATATGGCAGGGAGGCAGAACTCTTACAGCAGCCCTCCTAAGGCATACCTTTCTTTGTATTGTTCAAGTAGAATAATGATGACTTCCACAGACTATTTTTCAAACTCTTTGTGAATTGTAACTGACAAAGAGCCAGTGGAAGTTGATTTGACAAGTGTTTCTCTTGTGTCCACTTATCCTATCTCCATAAAAGTCTTTTTATTTAATGTCTCTCTTTGTTCCCATTTCAAACTCTACTCACACCATCAATCTTCCTCCACACAGTTCACACAGACCTCACATGGGCTTAATTCACTGCAGGTTTGATCCAAAAATGTTTGCAGTTCAGGAAGTAAGATCAAAAACTCTCCTGGAATAATGAGACATTTTCCAGCCAGCAGAATTTTAGTAGTATCGGTAACTTAGACTGCATATATATATACAGACTTGGCTAATGCGGCAGCCACAGAGTTCCAAATAGGAAGTGAGCATGGGCTTGCTTCCGGCTCCATCTTCTCCCACTCCAATTGACTTTATATTAAAAGAAAATTGTCCCTCTCTCCGTAACTACTCGAGTCTTGTAATTTTGGTCTTACAATGTTCATATTAACCCGCTCTACATGAACCTGATGTTTTTATTTTACTATTTTGTCCGTAAATCAATTCTTATTCCTAATATGGAACTCGGCTCCAAATTCTCAGTCTCTGTGAACTTCATTTGACTCGAGTGACGTCACACTCCCTTAATCCCCTTCTCTATGCAGTCTAAAACTGGTAATAAGAGCTTACATTTAAAACTGTTACAATCACGACTTGAACTGGGATGGGATTAGCTACCATAGTAACATAAGACAACAGTTCGAGCTGTTTTTTTCTAGATCGTTGCAACCGAAAGCAAGGAGCACTTTCAGTTTTCTGATTGGGTTATTAGAAAACCGAAATTTCCAAAAATGTAGAGCTTTCTACCATTTTATAATTTTTCCATCATTTAAAACATGCCTCACAAGGTTTCATACATCATCATCCGTATTGTCGTTTTTTCATAAATGTGCAAAAGCAGGATATAAAACAAGGCACTACAATGTCACAAATCTGATACGATGTGTTGTAGTTACATTAGGGGGGTGCGTGCTGATTGTATTGTGATAGTGCTCTGAAGGGGGAGTAAGTTAGCATGGGGAGCAAGAGGAGGATCACCTGAAACCATCAAAAACAAAACTGAAACTTATTTTGGCGAATATAGCATTAATATTCCAAGTACAATACCCCTTAATAGTAACCCATAACATAATTTGAGCATGAACTGTTTGTGAAATTCTCTTTATATTAGTGTGGCTGAAATCACATGACCACAGAATTTGAATTCAGTATTCTGATGTGTTGTTATAATATATGCATTGTTATAAATACATCTGATTTGAACATAGATTGGAGAGCTGCAACGGTTTATTTGGTTGCAACATCCATATGGGTGTAGAAAAAATATGATAGCTTTTCCCCTATTCTGTGCTCAGGTGCTTTTCTGCTGCCCTACCTGTTGATGGCGGTGTTTGGCGGGGTGCCTTTGTTTTACATGGAGCTTGCCCTGGGACAGTTTCATCGCAGCGGCTGCATCTCCATCTGGAAACACATCTGCCCGATTTTTAAAGGTAATGAGTATTTCTTTAAATGCCAAGAATTCCTTAAATATATATATATATATATATATATATATATATATATATATATATATATATATATATATTTTTTTTTTTTTTTTTTTTTTTTGATGATCTAGTTTCTCTGTCCACTAGCTTTTATTTAACAAGACATTAAAGGGACAGTTCAGATTTTTGGACATAGGACCTCATTTCCAGAGTGTTGCAGACGTGGGGAGACGCTTTTTTAAATATTCCATCCAGTCCTTGTATTTGCAGAGGTCATTGGTGCTAGGCTAGTGCATGTCAATGGCCATAGTTAGCCAGCCACTAAAAACAGTCTTAACCACTCCACAAAGAATCCTAGGTGAAACATTTTTAAGGCCAGACTGTCTATGTGAATGGCTGTGTTGATAATAATTTTAGAAGTAAACCCAACCTTGCATTTGAAGGATTTATCTCTGACCAGCAGCAGCGAGTTGCACTTTCTGATAGAAAGCTTGGCTGCAGCGGACTGATATATGAGAAAATAGTCCCCCAACATGCGACAATTCAATTCAATTCAATGCGATGTGAGGTTAATTTTATTTCAAACATTATTCTGTCAACACAGACATTTACATCGACAGTCTGGCGTAATAATAGATTTGTCTCAGGTGCTTTGTGAAGTGACAGGCTAACTATGGCCATTGACATGCACTAGCCTAGCACCAGCGGCCTCTGCAAATACAAGGACTGGATGGAATATTTTAAAAAGTGTCTCCACACGTCTCCAACAATCTGGCTCACTAGGAAATGAGGCCCTGTGTCCAAAATTCCGAACTGTCCCTTTAAGCAGTGGGATATGGGGGTGGTGGAGAGTAGGGAGAGACATTCAGAAAATTGTCAGAGCGGGAATCAGTCTTTCAGAACTGGGGCCTGCAAAGACCCTCTGTCCTCTGACCAGTACCCACTTAAATAAATGCATCAATTAAAAAAAGAGAAAACAATCAGAATATAATATATGATAATCTAACTTCTAATGCAAAATCTCAACAAAATATTACCAGTTTAACACATTATTCCTTGAGCTAAATCGTGAGAGACAGCTGCCTTCACCTGTGCTTGCCCTGAGAGAAACCCTTCGTTTCCTTGTAACTTCTGTGGACTCTCTGTAATGGAAATCCTCACATTTTACCTCCAAATGCCACACTCACAAACCTGTGCTTATGTAAATTATTGAAATGTCACCCACTTTTACCCAAAGAGACCTGGAATTAGCCTGAATCGGCACTGATCTTCATACAAGCTTTTACAGAGTGACTGACAACTTAAAAAATGTTCACTAATCTTGCATAAGTTGTGGTCCAGTGGTCTAAACAGTATCTCATTTTGTTGTGCACTCTGCCAGTCTCAGCATTTTGAGATTGATTACTGCCAATTTACTGAATGTCTCTCCCTACTCTTTACCTCTATTTCACACTTAAATCTGTACTGTCCGATAAAACATGTGGGACAAAAGTAGCTTATATTATTATTATTTATTAGCCATTATTTGACCTTCTTAAGGACACAGGTGCAGACAAATGAACCGTAGCTAAGATATATATAAAAAAAAAATTGTTAGAATTCTGTAAATACACTGACAGTAAATATTACACATTTAAAGGTTCTATATTACACTACATTGACTCTTGTGAGCTTTAAGCCATGTGAGAATGTTGTTATCTTGCCCGGAGTTGTGTTTTGTTTCATTCACCCGTTTTGAGTACCCTTTTATTATTAGTCTGTCTATCACTCAATCAGTCAATCAATCAAACTTTATTTATAAAATGTTTTTCATACAGAAATGTAATGCTAAGTGTTTTACGGTGATTAAAAACAAGCCCACATTTCCTTCCGCCCACCCACCCAACCCCCACTGCTGACTGACCCCACACAACCAAACAACCCAGACACACACATATACACATGCACAAACATGCACGCACACTCACTCACACACACACTAACATGCTAAAATACGTAAAACTACCTATAGTAAAATGTGAGGCTGAATACAGGCAAACCAGTTGAGAAAGCACCATCAGAGGAGCCGTGTACACCAGGAGCAGAGAGACATCCACCACCACCAGGAACCACCACAGGGCCCAGGGGAGAGATGAGGCCCCAGCACCATCTCTCCATCAAGAGCCCACGCGACAGACCTGGCAGCCGCAGCCGACCTCTGCTCCTGCTGCAGAGGGCTCCTACAGAGGAAAGACTGGAAGTCCTAAAAATATGCCTAAAATAAATAAATATAATAAAATGTGTACAATAGAAACAAGTAATATGTCAACAAGTTTACACGTTAAAACATTTTCTTCCACCTTGTAATGTCATGAAGTGGGGAAAACTACGGTTACTAAGTTAACAGCTACCTTTTACATTTAGTTTAGAAGAGATCGGCAATTCAAGGGCTGATATTATCCAAATGGTTCTAGTGACTGTGTATGGACTGGAGTTTTAAAACACAGTGGAGCACTTCCTGTGATTTCAATTTGAGAGAAAACTCAAATATGCCCAAATATGCAGGGTTTGTGTTAAACATGTGTGAGTCAAACAGAATAAAAAGACATATTTGTGTGTTTCCAGGCATAGGTTTTGCCATCTGCATCATCGCGCTCTACATTGCCTTCTACTATAACACCATCATGGCGTGGGCGCTGTATTACCTGCTCTCCTCGTTCAGTCCTGTGCTGCCCTGGACCACCTGCACCAACGGGTGGAACACACCCAACTGTAATCGCTACATCTGGACAGACCATAACGTCACATGGTCCAACTCGTCCACCTCCCCCGCCGAGGAGTTCTATACGTAAGTGCATGTAAGTGGGAGGAAGGGCTTAGGAGGTGAGGACAGAGGAGACAGGAGTTAGGAAGGAAGGATGCTTGGTTTGGGTCTGATGTTAACAAGGGGTTCATGTTTAATTAGTTAACTGATTATTCGTTTGTTACTATCCAAGTAGTTATAAAAAGGGATGGCCCAATGTGGATTTAAAAAAATTTTTATATACCAATACCAATACCAATATATCCGATATTGATCTTGCTATTATGGCCGATAGGTGATATTTGCCGATACCAAGCTTTTAATAAAGTACCATAGTAATTTATGTTACTGTGGAGTTTACTAATGAATAGAATATAAATTAAATAAAAAAAAATAATAATAATATTAAAAAAAAAAAAAAAAAAAACACTGATGCACTGAGGATGAACTGGGAATGACACAGACTGGTTTGGTGCAGAAGAAAAAATATTGGTACCAAATAAAAGCTAAATTTCTAAATGGGACTGATACTGATATAAATACTTCGATATTACTGATAACCGATATACCATCCCTAATAAATATCCTAAGAATGATTTGCTAAGATATGTGAGAAAAGAGCACCGTCTGAGAACCTGAGGGCATAATTAAAGGCATGAACTAAACCACAAATAATATATAAACTCTTGATTTGTCTGTAGTAATGCCACTATTTTGATGATAATTAAGGGACTTTAAGTTACCATGAAAAACACTATATAAAATCAATGTATGATTATTATTAATAATTATTAAATAAGCTTATTTTTAAATTGTTTTGCACAGTTATGTCAAGATATTAACAGGTAATCAAGTATTCTTAAAGCTTGAGCAATGAATCGATTTCTAAAATTGAATGTATATTTAGCTGTTTCTGGGAATGGTACAATAAGACTGAAAATGATAAACAGCTTATTATTTTGCATGCAGAAAACAGAATAATAGAAATTATATAGATTCTTTTGTGACAGTTAACAATACCAATAACCTCTCAATTGAAAATTGCCTGTATCCATGGTCACGCATCATTACTAAAGCAAAGGCATTGTTGTTCTTGGCTATTCAGTGTAAAGTTAAAGATGCACTATATAACTAATCTTGTTATTTCTTTGCTTGGATTGTTCCACAGTATGGCATTAAACTTATTGGTCTTCCATGTATTAGATTACTGGTGATTTTATTGCTGAAAATGTCTTCTAAAATTATACATTATTCTTGTGAGCAGGGGTCACAATAGGCCAAGTTACAGATCTGACCTGTAACTTGGCCTAGTGACATCACCTACTTGTCTTCACAGAAATAGATGTTTAATGTGTTACGGTGGGACATTCCAGGCAAAGCAATACTGTTTCCATGGAGACAAGATGGTTGCAGACCCTCCTCCAGAAAAATTGCACCGTGCACTTTTAAATATATTTGTATATTTTCCCTCTTGTACACTTTTCCATTCCTTCTTTTTCTAGGAATTTTATTGCAACTAGATTTTTCGTTTCTTTCTCTTTTTTTTTTTTTTTTTTTTTTTTTCAAGAGTTGGAATCATAGTTTTCCCATGTTTGTACAAGTCCCTCTAAGCCTAATAACAGGACTGAAGCACTTAGCAGCCCAAACTCTCCATGTTTAGTCAGAAACTTGCGCCCATCCGTCTGCTGCTATATCTGATCTCAGGTGATTTGAAGCAAAGTCAATATCCTCTCTTTAGGAGCGCCTTTGTAATATTCCAATATTCCCCCATGTTTTGAATGTGTGATATCTGCTGGCTCAGTCTTATCACAGTGTCCCGGCACAGTTTCCATGTTTGTGTATGGGACCGATTCAGGGTTTATCTGGAGTTGACTTTTCCTTCTTAATGTTTTAAAGTAAGAAATTCCCCTCCTCAGCTCGGCGCCAGAGTTTCCTGTTTTTAACATAAATCAACTCTTGGTTTAACATCCAATCTCAAATGTTTGACCTTAGGGCAGATGGTATAGTTTATTACATTCTGCGTACCAAGATACTGTTGGCATTAAAGCCCCACTGTGTAACCTTTTAGCCCTAAAAATATTTTTATATTATCATTTATATATTAGCAGTAGTTTGACACTATTTTGTCTGTAATTAGGAAGGGTCAGATTCACTGGTCTCAGTCCTTTATTACTCATTACTAATGATTTATAGCAGCCAATCTAAACATATGTATGTCCCACCCATCACCTCCTATAACACTGAAACACTTACATATTTCCTGAAGGTGGGCGTCCTGTTTTGCAGTATTCAGTACTTGGATTGGGCAGGCATAGAACCTATAGCATTTTACAAACATGCCACCACTGCTTTGCCCTGTGGAAAAGGTGCACACACCTATAAAGGTCAGCATGCGAACACTGGCAATGTAAAAATGGGTTTGTAAAAGCTATGAGCAATTTGGACTTCAGTACCTACTTCCTTATTTTTTAAGATGAGAAAGCATGATGGACAAGCTTTATATAGCCAAAAAGGAATGGGTTGAAATTATTATTGCATTATAGGGTTCAATGCTGGGGATGTGTTCACACAGACTACAAGACTATACTAGAAGTGTATCAAACCAAGCCTACATCAGGAGTAAATTGGGCTCAAACCAGGACCAATCCAGTGTGAACAAACTAAAAGTCAGGATATCTCGGTAACAATTGTATATACCGGTACATACATGACCATATTTCTTGCTTCTATTTCGTTGTATCCTGCATTATTAAATTCCAACTATCTCTACTTACAACTGAGTCTTTATAGTCACATTTTAACTTACCCAGTCAATCTCTACCCATGTTTGCTCCTGACAGTCGGCACGTGCTGCAGGTGCACCTCTCCCCTGGTCTTCATCACCTGGGTGCGGTGAGCTGGCAGCTGGCCCTGTGCCTCCTCTTCATCTTCACCATCGTCTACTTCAGCATCTGGAAAGGAGTCAAGACGTCTGGGAAGGTACACGGCCGGGCGCCTGTGAGCCGGATGAGGTGTTCACTGGAGGGAGATGGGTTCATGGAGACAGAGATTGGCAGATACAGCAGAAAGTCATTAGCTCTCTATGATAACCACAAGCTCACAGTACACATAATAATAAAAGAGGGAGCCTCATCGAACTTAATTTTGTATTGGTGGCTTCAAAATATAAACTTTAAACTTTTTGACACTTTCCAGTAAGGTTTACACTTTTACCCTACTCATGTAATTTAAATGGAAACACTACTTTGAGACTAGATGTAATTCCATTAATAAATTAGGAGATCACGTAGATGGTGGAGGGTCCATTTTCTGCTTGACTGCATAGAGATGTTAATGAACTGCCTGAATTTTCAACAATCTGGCATTAAACCTGTATCTGTTTCCAGTATTCCAAGAATATGACACCTCCATACTGCCAGATCTGAAGTTAGAGATCTGTTGATTTTAAAGTAAACTTGGTAGCAGTAGAAACGCCTGTAATTTTTAAAATTTGAGATAAACAAAAACATAAATTCTACACTGTGAAACATTACAGGCAAACCAATAAGATCATGACCAGATGTCTGCCCTTTTAGGATTAACAACATTGTTGATTGTTTGATTGATCTTCATGAAGACAAGGAAGTGGCAGACCAGAAAAGTTACATGGTGCAGCTTTAAAAGGGAAAAAAAATATATATTATAACTTTCCTCCCCTCTTTTCAGGTGGTTTGGGTGACAGCTACCTTCCCATACCTGGTCCTCTTCGTGTTACTGATTCGTGGAGCCACTCTCCCTGGAGCCTGGAGGGGCGTGGTCTTCTATCTCAAACCAGACTGGGGCAAACTGCTCAGCACTACAGTGAGTCCATTTAAAACAATGTTGACTGAAATGATTTATATTTAGGAAAACTTTGTGTACCTTTCATGAGGTTATTCGTTGTAAATTAATTTACAAAATCAGACAGCCTAAAGTAGTCTCTATGCAAGTCCTAAGCTAAGATTGATTATCACCTGACTTTTTAAAATTAATTAATACAAAAGTACAGCATCCCGGGGGGGCAGGTGGTAATAAATAAATACAGTAAGTGATTCTTCCTCTTGCTGTTTTCTTATTGCTAATGTAAATAATGTTTCCTATTGTCTTTTTTTGCCTTCTTGTGTTTATTCAGGTTTGGATCGATGCTGCAGCTCAGATCTTCTTCTCACTGGGTCCAGGGTTTGGGGTCCTCCTCGCCTTCGCCAGCTACAACCCCTTCCACAACAACTGCTACAAGTAACGCATTCTAGCCCTATTTCTAGTCCTGTTCATATACAATTAATTCAAAATTGCAATAATGTTTTGTTTTTTTTCCTCCAGAGATGCGCTGGTGACTAGCTCTGTGAACTGTCTGACCAGTTTCATTTCAGGGTTTGTGATCTTCACTGTTCTGGGATACATGGCAGAGATGAGGCAGCAGGATGTGGATACAGTGGCCAAAGATGCTGGTATGAAAGTTTAAGAGCCTAGAAAAGTTAGTGCATAAGCAATATGTATATCAATGCGTTTTTCTGAAAAAAAAAAAATCTAATTGGTTATAGCTCCACTATGTAACATTTCTGGCAGAAGGTACATCACCTGCTTGTCTCTGTGGAGATTTCCATATGTCTGATTTCCATTTCCATCTGTCCATGTTCCAGTATGGCATAATATCCTTGTATTATGCCATTATGCCTTGTATGCAAAACATGAATTCTTACTGTGTGGGCTTGCTATTTCATAGATCAGACCTATAACTTGGCTTATTGGGGGCACATGCATGTCTTTATTGAGATAGAAAAGTTTAATGTAATACTTTAGAACATTCCAGACAAAGCCAGTCAAGTTTTAAGGTATTTTTCAACAATATAAACACATGTAACTGGACAAATGCAAAATATATGATCAATGCCATAGTCTGGAACATTTAAGGCAAAGCAATAACATCTCCTTAGCGACAAGCAAACAGTGGACCCCCAGCTAGAAAAGTTACATAATGCACATTCAAGTAAACTTACAATTATACACAGATCCAAGTAATAACTGCATCAATTTTGTGTTTTGAAATACCAAGAACAGTAGCTAATTTTACAAACCACTTTCTAAACGTGCAGTAACTCTATTTGTGTAACATCTGCAGAGCTAAGTTTATCTTCTAACAGTCAATCCCCTCTTTTCTTTTTATAGGCCCGAGCCTGCTGTTCATCATTTATGCAGAAGCCATTGCCAACATGCCAGCCGCCACGTTTTTCGCCATAATTTTCTTCTTAATGATCATCATGTTGGGTCTGGACAGTACAGTGAGTCCAGTCTAACCTCAGCTCACCCACTAGTTCACATGCGGTTTAAACTCAGAGTTTAGTGGCACAAGTGATCCATATTTGAGTCTTTGGTCGGTAATTAGCCTTAAAAAAGCATGAACAAAGACTTAATTTATAATGCACAAGTAGTTTATTACCAATGATTAAGAATGATTCAGGCTTAGTACCTACTTAATTAAGGGTTTAGGGCAGATGGTTAAAAAGCTTTGGTCCTCATGCCTTCCACTAAACTGGCAGTACTTTTTACTACAAAGTGAATTGATTCTACCTGTATAACATGAATAACATCACACTGTATTGTAATACGGGCCCAAGACTTATTAAAGGTACAGGTACAGAGCCTGTCAAAACTGTAAAATGCACCAATGGGAATGATTCACGGTGTCGACACTGGTCTGTTAGCCTGATTCATTAGCCGGTGTCTACAAAGTGAAACATCGCAGTATTAGAATTCATTCGCTCGACAGTAGGTGGGTACTTTTTTTCATTTAACCAATCACTGCTATTTGGTCGTGACGTATGTAATGCACCACTAACAGGGCTAACTGGTATATTAAGCTTTTCCAAAATCCCGTTGGAAGAATGCCAATAACGTCTTTCCCCTTGATAATGTTCATCAAACATTCTCTTTGTTCCAGCTTTAAATCCTGAATCTCGGGAATCGTTGCCAACACAGAATGTATGGCTCTTCACTGATTAGCTGGTGCCCGAATGCACACTTCCAGGCTTCTTGCAAACTGTCTAATGTATTCCAATTCCTGACATAGTCGCTGGAGGACTAATGAAATTGAGCGGAGACACTAGGTGGCACCAGCCTGGCTACTCGTCTGTGGCCCTCAGCTTCAAATATGTTTTGATATTATGAAAAAAGACACCCCTTTTAGGATTAGCAATTAGAGTTAGGGTTAGTAAGTAGTTACTAATGAATTTTTAATAAAGTACTGGTATTTCTCCATAATGAATCAAGTATTTGCTCATGCTTTATAAAGACATGAAAAGTGTACTTATATAGTGTTACCAAATAATTATCTTTATACAATTTTTTGTCACTTATTTCCTCTACTAATAAAACAACAATTTATTAATTAATAAAAATAAAAAAAAACACTGATTACAAATTAATTATTGGTTGTTCTGTAGACCAGGGGTTCCCAAACTGCACTTAAAAACTAATTTCTGTTAATAAATAGGATGCCTGGACCACTGCAAACTGTTGAAAACAAATCAGTTCTGTTGTTCATGTTTTAAGATAGTAAAAATCAAGTACAGTGCCTTTAAATATGATATCATAATTTGTAAACTAAACTACACCATCGTTAATGGGAAACCTTGGCTTGCATCTGCTCCAGTCTGTTTAATGTCTGCACTGTTGGCGAGCTCTTCTATGCTTTTTAGGCCCTAGAAACAGCCTTGTATTTACCTGTTGCTCCTTCATAGTAACTGTGGATATTATTTGTCCTTTTGAATAACGGAGCAGAAAAAACAATGCGATATGGCAGTGATACGGGAGCACAGAGGTGATATTGTCTCCGCTGAGGGCTGAGTTTATCTGGTCAAACGCAGCCAGCTGGAGACAGGGCTGCGGCTCTTATCGCTCTGTGATAATCAGGACTGAATCAGAGGATATTACAGCCACCTCTCATTGTACATGTTTTTAATGCTGCTGCAGCTTAACGTTTTTGGTATTTTTATTTTTTTTTGTCCCTTGTGTAATACTAGGCCTTACACGCAGGAGGTGGACTAATAAAGTCTAGATATAGTTTCATATTTGTTTGCATGTACATAGTTAAATTAATATTGGCCATATCTTATTTTGATTCATTGATCTTTCATACTACTTTCAGTATTGCCACTGGTGGAGGGTCCGTCACCCGTTTGCCTAATGAAAATACTATTGTTGTACCAGGAATGTTCTACAAAATGGCATTACACTTAGCTGTCTTTCATTTATTCAGTTATAGATGTTTTTATTACTCCAAACATTACTTGGATTTGTGGTGTCACATGGTTGTCTCCATGAAGGGTAAATTTTATGCCATTTTGTGGAAAAAGGAAGTTGTTGGACCATCCACCTGAAAACTTTTAAAGGGACAGTTTGGAATTTTGAACATAGGGCCTTATTTCCTAGTTAGTTAGAGTGTTAAAGTGTCAAATACATAGATCCTTGTATTTGCAAAGGTCGCTGGTGCTAGGCTAGCGCATGTCAATAGTAGCCATAGGCATAGTTAGCCTGCTACGAAAACAGTCTTACCCACTCCACAAAGCACCCAAAGTAAATCTATTATAACGTCAGACTGTCGATGTGAATGTCTGTGTTGATAGAATAATTTTAGAAGTAAAACCAACCTTGCATTTGAAGGATTTATGTCTGAGCAGAAGCAGTGAGTTGTACTTCCTGATAGACTTGGCAGCGGCGGACTGATATATGAGAAAATAGTCCCTCAACATGCAACGATTCATGCAATGCAAGGTTAGTTTTATTTCAAACATTATTCTATCAACACAGACATTTATATTGACAGTCTGGCATAATAATAGATTTGCTTCAGGTGCTTTGTGGAGTGGGTAAGACTGTTTTTAGTGGCGGAATAACTGTGGCCATTGACATGCACTAGCCTAGCACCAACGTCCTCTGCAAATACAAGGACTGGATGGAATATTTTAAAAAAGTGTCTCCACACATCTCCAACACTCTGGCTCACCAGGAAATGAGGTCTCATGTCCAAAATTCTGAACTGTCTCTTTAACATTATAATTAATTCAGGTGTCACAGCAACTGCTGCTAAGATAGATCATAAGTTTAAAAAAAGTTCCCTTTGATGAGTTACTTACACATGTCAAATATGAAATAAGGCTACATAGACTACATTACACCTATAATCTCACCAAAAATGTATTAACCATAAGTCAAATGAGTCCTTCTTACTTCAATAAAACTCTTTCATGTGCTGTTCGTGTCTCCAGTTTGCAGGTCTGGAGGGGGTGATAACTGCCATGTTGGACGAGTTTCCTCACGTTCTCGCTAAGAGACGTGAGCTGTTCGTCTTTGGTCTCGTCTGCGTCTGCTACCTCGGGGCTCTCTCCACTCTTACATATGTAAGTCATGGTATAAAAGTCTATCTGATAATGAACATTACTTTAATTACAAATGTTACAAATTGGAAATCTGTTTGAAATGAATTTCAGGGCGGAGCTTTTGTGGTGAAGTTATTCGAGGAGTATGCCACAGGTCCAACTGTTATCACTGTGGTTCTTCTGGAGGTCATCGCTGTCTCCTGGTTTTATGGTGAGAGTATTGGAAGATTTTACTGATTTAACATTTAACTTTACTTAATTTTTAAAGGGCTCGTATTACCCTATGTTATGTGTGAATTAAACAAAAGACATGTTTTGGTGGAGGTAGTAACATTCTAACATGGCTTAAAGCTCACAAAAGTCAGTTTTGCGTAGTATGTGACCTTTAAGATAATTGTTAGTTTCAAGTTCCAATATAGATGAATTTGTTGGCATCATTGGTATTTGACTCACACAATAAAAGTTAGTGTTGTATTTCTTTGTGCTGCAGGTACCACTCGCTTCTGTAATGACGTGCACTACATGCTTGGCTTCTACCCCGGGTGGTTCTGGAGAATTTGCTGGGTTGCTATCTGCCCCATATTTCTTCTGGTAAGGTTCACAATATTTATTTTACTGTAATATTTAACACTTCATTATACTACTTTGAGGAGGATGCCCAAACTCATCTGATCTCTGAAGCTAAACAAGGTTGGGCCTGGTTAGTACTTGGATGGGAGACCACTGTGAATATCAGATGCCAAAGTGGGGCAGCAGTGACTCTAATACAAACTGTTGTTGTGTCCTTGGGCAAGATACTTCACCCACAGTGCCTAGTATGAATGTGGTGTGTGTGTGTGCGTGTGTGTGTGAATGATTAGTGGTCATCAGAGAAGCTTCAGTGAATTAAGAATGCAATATGAAGCAAGTGCACCAAAACTCTAACATATAACCCTATACATATACAGTATAGATACATTATCAGCTAAATGTGTGTATGTTTCATTTCCTATGTTTTGTTTTTTTTTCTTAATTTGTACTGCTACATTTTAGAAACATGCAGAAGATGTCAGATATATGAAGCAAAATATGGAATCTTTTGTCCTCCTGTTGTCACCCTGTTAATCTAAATTTTCTGTTTTTTCTCTTAAGTTCATCATTATCAGTTTCCTGGCGTTCCCTCCTGATGTGAAGTTGTTCAATTACCACTACCCTCAGTGGACCACAGTCCTGGGGTACTGCATCGGCGTGTCCTCCTTCATCTGTGTGCCTATATACATGGTCTACCACCTGCTCAATGCAAAAGGCACCTTCAAACAGGTTCAGCCCCTTTTTATTTATTAAAAAATAACTCGGCAAAACAGGTCATATGTTGGGTCAACTGCTTGAGCCTAGACCATAGACTGTACATATAAACGGCCATAGCTAACCTGCGAGCCAACTCATTCCAAATAGGAAAATGAAAAATGTCGCCCCTCTTTCCATAATCACTACAGTGAGCAGTGAGCCTCATCATTCTGACCTTAAAATGTTCATATTAACCCACTGTTCATTCTCCTGGTAGTTTTATTTCATCATTTTGTCATTCCTATAACTGCTAGCCTCGTGAGCTTTATTTGACTGAAGCAAAGCGCTATTGGTGATCCACTCCCTTAGTCCACTTCTTTACACAGTCTATGGCATAGATTTAGAGCTAGTTGTCTTTGGACCACTTACATTATAAAAAATAAAGTAATGTAAAATTAAACTTTTATTCATAATGCACTTAACATTTGAAGGTAAATCTCAAAGAGCTTCAAATAAAATAACTCATTACCAGTAAACTTCATATAGTCGTGTACAGTAGGTCTGGGCGATATGGGGAAAAAAATAATAATCACTTTTTTTTTTCTGTTATATTGAGAGACCTCAGTGCGATCTTCTTCCATCTTATTAAAACATGCACATATTGACTTAAGGCATAAAAAGCAGTTTTTGTTTTATGTTGATAGGACCAACATTTCCGGAGAAATTCACATTTAAAGTTTGAAATAAGTTTTTACAATATATTCAACATAAATGCATCCACAGCAGAAACATTTATATGTGCGCTACCGTTACAAACTTGTACGATGTCAGTGCGCTAAATCAGGACTTAAGTTTCACTCAGAAATGGTGAGAAAATAGTTGTTTACTAAGTTGGATTATAGTGATAAGAAGCAAAGAGAAAGACAGGGAAAAAGTGAGGAGCTGCAACTGGAGAGAGGGAGGGAGAGTGGGGAGACAACAGTGCACACACAGAAACAAATGCACACACACAATCAAGACAGATGCCCACAGAGAGACAGAGGAAGAGAGACACTGGACTTTTAAGAAAATTTAGCAGATTTAAGTCAAATCTTGAACATGTGAACACACATGAGGAGAGACATAAAGGGCTGCGTTTTGGCTCAGGCTGCATTTTCCTAAACTAGACAGAGGTAAATCCACTGCAGCAGCGGGCGCTCTTACTGCCACATAACTGGCTGTAGACCTGTCAATTAAAATGCACACACATTATCATCGAGATCTACCAAAATAGAAATCGCAGTTTATCAATCTTTCGATTTTTGGTACAGCCCTAGTGCACAATATACTGTAGAAACAACAGACACAATGCAACAAGGACACCTTACATTAACATCTTGAATTCATTAAACACATTTTTGTATAGCGCACAGACCGAGCATCCCCTTTATTATCTAATTATGTTAAATTTACTACCTTTCACTTTTTGAACATTTGAAATACATGTCCTCATATGGTCAGAAATGTATGATTCACATTCACATAACACATGAAATGGTTGTAATTTCATCCCTTTATTTTCATGAGACTAGGAGAGGGAGAAGGCTTAGACCAGTCTCATGTGTTGACTCTCCTGTCAGTAGACACAATGGCACCTCTCCACACTGAAGTCAGGCTTTGTGTCCAGGCCTCATGAAATGTACCGAGTCAGCAGAGCCTAACCAGATCATGGGTTTGTTTATGTCCGCTGTAACACGCTTTGTTCCACATACTAAAGGTGTTAACATGGACTGACTGTGTGGCAGTGAGGTGAAGCAACCTGAACTTATGTAATACAGCACAATACAGTTTTCATCATTAATATTCTTAAGGCCTATACAAAACAAACCTATTCATATGTATTCATTCAAATTGCTCAATTGTAGCCTTCAAAAAATACTAAATGTTATTATGTGAATGAATAATAATTTCAAGCATAATTTTAGTTCAGTGACTTAATTCATAATGAACAAATAGTTTATTAATAATTTATTACAAATTATTCAGGCTTTTAACTACTTAATGAATATATTAGACTAGAATTAGGATAATTATTAAGTTATTAGAGTTAAGTTATTAAGAGTTATTAGTAAGCCTGATTTTTTTCTTAACAAACTGTTGAATGAATTAAGTATTTCTTCATGAGTTTTTATGGTTAATAAGGTATAGGTATTATAAATCTCCAATAGTGTTAGCAGTAGCAATAGTACATGTAATAATTATTCTCACCATTGTTTTTATGATAGTATGTAATAATAACAGTAATAGAGAATGTATTTTTCCTCTTTACTTGTGAGCATGTTTTTAATACTTTTTACTTTCCATTTCCCCCAATTCTTTTAGCGCCTCTTGAAGAGCATCACACCAGTGCCGTCCAGTGAGCACCACAGAGACTACATAGTGACCAACGCAGTCTGACCAAACCTGACCAGAAAGAGGCGCCGCTCTAGACACTGCAGAGAGCGCCCTCTACTGGTTACATTGCAAAACTACAGGACAAGGGGGCTACCTTTCACCGCCTTTGCCTCTTACCATACCTCTCCTTCATGTTTTCTTTAGGCTCATTTGGTTCTTAACCTTTATTGTCCATGTTTTGAGCAACAAACCAATAAGCTTTTATTTAAGTTTAGGGATACTTATTCGAAAATCTGTTATTTTTCACTGTTACTCCATAAAATTAAGAGAAGCAAACAGTAGCAATGCCACTTCAACCACTGAATGTGTGTGTATTACCTGTGTGCCTCAAAAAAGATACTTGTGAAGACTGGTGGTCCTGAAGAGCCATAATAAAGTAATTTTATACAGAAAATGCAGTATTCACCCCTTTTCAGCTTTACAATATTGTACAAAAATGCATAGAGTTTGTATAGACAAATTATTTGTTTATCAACAATGCAGATGCATGCACAGCCTGAGTGCAGAAAGCGCCGCTGTCTGTGTGGTTAACATGAGATTGTAACGTTATCTAGCGCTGTTATCAGCACACTCAAACAGTTTATCACCGTGTGATAAAATAAGTTATGCTAAATGAACATTAGTGAGTGGCTGAAATCTGATGAAATCCTACAAGACACTGACATGATACTAGACAGGACAGTGGCTCTTTTTGCAGAAGACATGCACAGTAGAGTGCCAAGTACTCTGATAATCCCTCTATAGTGCCTTTTTAGACACTCTTCACTCCTTTGTGGTTCTAGGGAAAAAAAAAGTTTCATTCTTCTGACCTAGTATATCCTCCACTTCTTCAATCACCAATAAATACATGGCCACACTGGCAGATTCATAGGAGCAGTGTCTTGCCAAAGGACAGAACATTATTAATAGAGCAGGATTCAAATCACCACATTTGCTCCTTCGTTTAATGTTGCTTTTCATGAACACAGCCCTAAAAGCATGTTTAGCTCATAAGTTAAACTTTTAAAATAGCACATCCCTTAATAGTTTTCTTTTTAGTTCCATTCAAACACTTTAAATTACATATTTTGTGATGAAGTCCAGCTGCTCTCACAGGATCTGTCAATTCTGTAGTTCACTACAGACTATTATTAGTATCCATCATGGCATCCATACTGTGAGACCTTTGACCTCCAGTCCTCTCAGGACACATAGTACTCTAACAGCTGTCAATCACAGCCGCTGCCCCCTCTCTGCTCCCCCCCGTCTTCACATCTGCCTTGTCTTTGACCTCCAGCATTTTGCCCCAGACAAAAGACTGTTCAGTGCTCCTGTTTGCTTCTCTATACAATACTACCTGTTACATCTTATTCTAAAGAAAATACTGTACTATTTCTTCAAGGAGGCAGCCATTTTTCTATTCTGAATTTCTTTCACAAAGAATAATTCTGTCAGTACATAAAATAATTTCACTCTCACTGCTTCAACTGTTATGGTTGTATTTTTATACTCTACTGTTAAGTTATGCATTTCAAAAGTAGCAAAATTCAGGTATCTTTTACATTTGTTGCTAAAGCCAAATATATATATCTGTTTGTTTCCATATTTCTGAAGACTCAAATGCTGTTTTAGATGCGTTCATTGTCATTGTCAACATTATTTTGTCTGTTTGTTGTGGTTAATTTGACAAAGGGACATAGCAAGCATCCAACACTGTGAAGCACTATACAGGATACATGGCAATTATAATGTATAGAAAAGATAGACTGTTCACAGAACCACAACAAAGCTAACCCAATTTAGAATTTTGATTGCAATATAAGAAGATATATATTTATTTGATTTATTAATATATTGTAAACTCCATGTGTCTCAATACTGACCCTTGTGGAGTCCCGGATCATTCTGTGCTTTAGTAGTAGAAGCCAAATAAGGATTAGAGCTAATAGTAATAATAATGTCATTAATGTCATAAACTCAGAATACACTATTTACTTTGGACCAAAAATGAGTGTGCGTGACCATGTGCCTATATGAGAATCAGTTGTGTGTGAGCGTGTGTGTGTCAGTCAATAGGAGCAGGTTACTATGGCGAGTACTGTACCTTAATGTGTATTTACTAGTCAAACCTATGATATTGTGTAATAGTATATTTAGTGCAAGCCTGTCTCCTGTATGCGTGTGTGTGTGTGTGTGTGTGTGTGTGCATGCATTCACTTGTATGTAGTTTGTACGTCTGTCTATGTAACCTCCTGTTGTCTCGTTAACTGCCAAAATATCCGATGAAGGAAGTCGACTCCCCTTTGCCTCTCTCTCTGACCTCTGAAGCCTATGTAAAATCTATGTATGTCTAAAATGTATTGAGAAACACATCTGTATAGAATAAATATATATATAAATAAATATATGGTAATAACAGATAATAAAGATATATGGGAGAAAATACATGTGTTATCTTTATTTGCGTAGTTACAATTGACATTTGACTTTTACTTTATAATAATGTTCAAGGGGAAAAAAACACTGTTTCTAAAGTAAGCTTTATTATAAAGTCTTTAATCAAAGGTAAGTCAAATGTTACTAACATTCATGTAACAAAAAATGCTCTAATAAATACATTTGTACCTTTCACTCTACTACCACTTTTAGGATTCTTTTGCAATCAGATGTTTTGGACCAAAATAAAGCATATGTTAATCTCTTGCTCCAGTTTCCCCCATCAATCCAGAGCACAATATAAGTGAATCTTCCAGCCTGGCTCAAGATCTAAAGGTGGCTCCCCCAGAGCACTGTACTGCTCCTGACAGATTGCCCGAGCGGTATTGAATAATGGGTCAAATATTGAGAACAAATTTCCTTGCAGGGATAGTGTTTAGACTGGACCTAAAAGAGTTCAATATGCCTGGAAAGATGCACAAGAAATGCAAATATCTCTTTGCTTTTCCTCATTTTATACCAGGCTGTCTTCCCTCTCCTCATATACTCCTCCTGTGTGAGTTTGTGTGTGGTTTTATTGTGGCAATTTCCTCTCACCTCGCTGCTCGTGGTTGATGGGCACATTGTGTGGTCTCTGTATTGACCTTATCGGAGCAGATCTATATTAAACAGCAGCCTGGTGCCCCCCACTCCACAGCCCACCCCCTCCTGCTGTACCTGCACCTATCTGCCTTCACTCTCTCTCTTTTACTATCCACAACTCATCAAGAAGAAGTCCCACTGCACATATATACTGTAGGTCTCCCTGCCCAGTGCTCATATGAAATATATAATCCATCCCACAAACTGTCAACATTTAATGTATTGTGTATTTTTCAATTAAATTATTCTGTCTTGACCCAAATATTAGGGTGCATTCATGTGTGTGCACACACCACATTGAGCAGGAATACACCTGAACTAGAACAAAACCAAACCAAGACTAAAGAACTAAACTGTTCGCTAAAAGTAGGGTCAAACCATGACAAGTGAGAGTGCAGACATAGACTGTATATTGGTGAATAAGTCCATATATAGTCTTTGAATGCAGCCTTTTATCATGTTGATTAAAGGTGCATTATGTAACTTTTCTGGTGGTGGGTCTGCCACTTATATATGCAAATGCAAGATATATATGTAAATTTAAGGCCATACTGGAACATAAAGGCAAATTAATAACAATAACATCTCTAAGACATAGGATGTAGGTGGTGGACCTTCCCATCAGAAAAGATACTACCCCATTACATTCAGATCATTTTGTGTGCATACCTCTTTGTCAAAGCCCGATCTCCTCAAATGTCCGAGGTTAGTCAGGCCAGGCCTGGTGAGGACTTGGATGAGAGAACGCTGGAATATCTGGTGCCACACTGGGGCACAACTGTTGTTGAGTGGTTAGCACATTGCTCAGTTTGAGTGTGGTGTGTGTGTGTATGTCTGTGTCTGTGTCTGTGCGTGTGTGCGTGTGTTGGTTGTAGTTAGATGGGGCCATGGCATAGATTGGCAGCCTCTCATCCATTGGTTCCATTGGGCTGCTGTGGCTACAATAGTTTATAGTGCTCTACCCAAGACTAATGCATAATTATTATGTATTTGTACTATATTTTCATCTAGTAATTTTCTTTTTTTTTTAAAGAAAAATCCTTCAGAACTTACAGCACAGAACCCTTTGTTTCATTTTCTACTCCCCACTCTCACAACATTATTTGACATATCTGGTCCTTCCCCAATCCTCCAGTTCTCATATAAATATTTTTGACAGCAGTCTAGTTGAAGGTCACTATTTTGACAGCAAATCTTGGCATTTAGCTCTTTAACTTGCTCGATCAACTACTTGCCTCTCTCTCTCTCTCTCTCTCTCTCTCTCTCTCTCTCTCTCTCTCTCTCTCTCTCTCTCTCCCTCTCCCTCTCTCTGTCTGTTGATTTTAAGATACTACTTACCTGTGAAGAACCGGAAATGAAAGTGCTTTTTCCCCGTCCCGATCTGTCGCCTGGGCCTTTATCTGTCCTCCTGGAGCTCGCTCGCCCGCTGTGTCTGTCTCTCACGCGTCTAATGAACTCATTTCGCACGGGGGGAGAATGCGTCTTATCTCCACACACGAGGCGCAGCTCTTCTCGCGGTCAAAGCCACTCTCTCGTTTCCACATCGCGCACACTACAGTTCATTTGATGGTGGCCAGGCTCTGGGGCCCTAAGTCCTTATGTCTAGTAGTAAAGAAGAATAACCAAAAACAATGGGTGAATTGGCACCGGTGTCATTGCAATTAACAGATCCAAACTTAATATAATAGGTTTGAAAGTGAAAAGTCCTAAAGATGTCGTCGTTAAACCCAAGGAAATGTGTTCACTGTTCCTTGGTCAACAAAAGTGTTTAGGCTACCTCTGAGAACCAAGACCGACAACGTGGCACAGTGGTGGCACGGAAGCATTGTGTCATTGGGCGAGCTGTGGTTGCACAAACTTATCCATTGCATGAGGATTGTAGGCTACAACTTTCGCCGTTTATATGATATTTTTTATGTTAACTGAGATATTTAAAATATTGAACCCCAAATTTTGGATCAGCATAAAACAATTAAATAGGAAAAGAGTGACAACATAATTAACATTATACAACATTATAATATGGCTTTAAGACATGTTATAATGCTGTTACCTCATCAAAAACATACCAGAACATGTTTGAGTCACCCACAGCAAGTGGTAGTTTTCAAGTTAACAGCTACTTTTTACCTTTTGTTCAGTAGATTTACAATTGCAGGTCTGACATTTTCCAAATAATTCTGGTGAAGGTGTATAATTGAACATGATGGAGCACTCCCCGTTTGACTGTGTGTTTTCTGACTGAGAGAAGACCTCAGCCTAAATATGTAGGGCTTGTATATCCAACATGTGAATTTCAAAGACAGTTTCAGCTTTGGTCCAGCTGTGATTTTTGAACATGCTCTTGTCTCCCTCTGTTGGTTTAGTACAGCTATCAGCTTCTGGAGTTTAACATTTCTCACATTAACTGCATTGGCTGAGGTTCACCACCAGGGGCACTAGAGCTCCGTGG